CCTCTACTTCCTTTCAACTGTCTACAGGCTAAAACTGTGTAAAATAGGCTTGCATGCAGCTGCTGCGTTGAGCCCATTATGCCAGCAGATTGGCATGGATGACTTGGATTGCAGTGCTTCAAGGATTAGTAGCTCATGAAGGAAAGAATATAGGTGATGGCTAGAGAAATCACTATGATTGTAAGGAAAGAAATGCTTCCTTCAAAAGGAGTGCACAGTAGTGAGGGAAGAGAGAAGTAAGGTAATAAACACTAGAAACAACAGACCCACAGTATAAAAGAGAACAGTCCTTGGTTGTAGCTACCTACAAATACAGGTGTACACAGGCACAGCTACCTGCAGCTCTGCTCTCATCTGTTGTATCTGCCCCATTAGTTTTTGTATTTCTTCTCTCTGAGTGTCTCGCTCATGTCTCAGTTCCTCCAGTTCCACCGTGCTGGCTGTATTGCTATCCAGGCCTTCAATACCAGAGCCTTCTTTTAAGCTGTTTATCAACTTCTCCTTAGACTGAAAAAAATAAGCCAATATATTATTTATAGCGGTATTGAACACATGCTCAACTAAAATATGCTACAATGACTGGTTTCTCTGTTCTTTTATGACCCTACACATTTGAAAATGAAAATGCTTCCATATTGACAATTTTTCTGATTTTCTGTATGCCATAAGACTAATTTAACTGAAAGCCTGTGTTATCTGTGGAAGAGTACAGCTTTTTCCTTTACAAGTGCCTGGAATGATAAACTTGTCATGGGTAACAATTTTGGCCCTCTTGGCACTGAAACAGACAAGATGCACACTAACAAACACTATAGACAAAACTGACCCCCTTTTTCTCCTGCCAACAAAATCAAGAACTAAATACAGCAATAATTTTTCCAGGAAAGAGGATAAATCATTTTATTCAGAGTCAGCCTAGTGTTACCTTGGCATTGACTTGTGATTTTAGGCTTTTCGTATTTACCAAGACAATTTAAAACCTGTCCTTGAACATTTGACTAAATTAACTATTTTAGAAAGAGCTCTATCTTCAACATTGTGCTAATGTTTAGAAACAATACTCAAACCAACCACATCTTGACATAGTACCTTTAACATTCACATAGTACAGAACTCGGCACAAAATACCTGATTTTGCCACTGTTCATATCATGTCAATCACAAGCAACCTTTCAGGACATGGAAAAATATTCTCTGGTTACATGTTAAGTATCCATTCTATGCTATGCTTCAGCCCCAAGCAGAAGAGTAATATTCTTTAATCAAGAATACTGGATATGGAAAAAATTATAGGTTTCATCTATTGTAGTTTCATCTAACTCTCTGGACTCTTGGATGTGGAACACGCTGACAGATGATGCACAATAAGTACAACAGTTCCTTTGGATTTTTTTTTCAGGTTCAGGACCTGAACTACCGTTTCAATTCCATAACTCCACCTATAAACTTAAGTCTACAAAAGGCAGATTGGTAGCTGTTCTATATATGTATCATTATAGATATGCCCCAGAACACATTACAGGTCACATTAAAAAAAAAAAATACCACAAGTTAGATTATTTGAAGTCTAACAGCTTAAAACAGTTAAAGCATACAAATCACACTGTATTTCTTCACAACAGTGCTTACTTGGAGAATGCGAGTAGCTTTCTGTTTATAGTCTGTCAGTTCCTGTTTTGCAGATTCTAGGTGGCTTTTAGTTATTTTGACTTGCTGCTGAAGCTCATCAGCTCGCCTCTTTTCATCTAAGTACTTTCTCTCTGCTACAGTTATCCCTTCTGCAAGGCTCTGACGCTCTGCTTCCACTTTACTCAGACGAGCTGCAAACTCGTTCTATTAGTAATAAAAAAACAATACTTTGTGTTTAAACACAGTCTCAACTTTAACCTAGGAAGGAAAAAAGAAAGTTTAAAAGCAACTACACAGAGCACATCACCTCCAACTTAAAGACTCATTATTGCTATGTTGAAATAAACTCTGCTTGCTTAAGCAAGTGGTAAATAATCCAAGTAAGAATATGCTTTTCTTTCCTTCACCACAAATAGTGAGGGAATAACAATCTTCCTATTATTCTAATTTATTTAGCAAACAACAATCAAGCTTGTCCCTTAAAAATATTATCAATTGTAGTATGACATATTTTGAAGTAGTGTAAAAAAAGTCAAAAGAGACACTCTTAAAGATTTTCATATGTTATTCTATGTTATTCTGTATAGCAAAGGCCAAATTAAGTATAGAAAACATTCTTTATCAATAATGTACTTGCACCTTTACCACAGAAGTGATCCTTCATCTTAGGATCTCACAGTAAAATTGTGTAACAACACACCAAAGAAAACGAAACTGACAACCAATTTACTTTTCAAACATGTATTAACATTAAAGTTAGCATAAAAAAACCCCAGTAAAAATTGTCAACATTAATCCTCAAAAACCTTTACTCATGAAGCATTCAAAATAACATATAAGAAATAAATTAGCATCTCAATGGTATTTAATGCAGCAGATAGCACACCCTTCCAAGCAATCAGTACCCTGAACAGGAACTCAAGTCAAAGGGAGGAGAGAGCACATGGAACCTCATGGATCTGATCTCAAAAGCAGAGTCTTAAAGTATTCCTTACTCTTCATGTCTAACCTGCATTTGTTTGTAACTTTCTTGCTCTCGCTTGAGTGCAGAGTCTGCATCACGCAGCCTCTCCTGAAGAGTTTGAAGGGCTTGATTTTGTAAACTGCTTCCTTCACTGTGGTCTTGTATTATCCTGAAATAGAGACACACATTTATTGGAAAAGAAGCAAGCTGGTGTGATTTTTCATGTAGAAATATAACCTCCCGGCTTCCAGACCAGCTTTGAAAATTTGCCCAGCAGATTACTGCATAGAGACTACAGGTGTGAGGACTGAGTTAATGACTCACATTTCTCCTCCCTGGCCTATATTCTGGAGTATCCATATCCCAGCAGTGAGTTAAGTTCAGAAAAATCTGTGTATTTGTGGATAAGCAAGTCTATTTTTCAAGAAAAAAAAATTCTTTGGACCTTCAGCTTCATGTTTCTGACACAAACAAATACCTCACATAAAATAGATTTCAATAATCAGATGCTAACGGATGCCCTAATTAATTGTTCTGTTCTCACTGCCAAATATGATAGAGCAGTTTCAGTGAAAACTTTAATCCTTGTATTTCAAATCTTTCCTCATTAGTTTATTATTTTTTTTATTCTTGAAGACACTAAATTATCTATCTTGATTTTTTTCAAGCTTAGTACTAGTAGCAGAATTCCACAGAATGAAATTAAGAAGTACCGTGATTTTTCACTCTGCAGTGCTTCCAAAGCTTCTGTCCGAGCACTTAAGAGCTGATCAGCTTCTTGCAACCGTACTTTCAGCACAGCCAGCTGTGAATCTTTGGCACCAACAGCTTCTGTCAGATCATCCACTCGAGCCTGAAGGTCTCTAACCATCCTGTCACTCTTGGAATGGTCAACATTCCACTTCTCCACCTTCTCCCGGGATTTGTTCAGTTCTACAAAATAAGAAGTTTCTTTGAAGTTTACAAAAGTAGATATTGTGAGGTCTTGTAAGCAGTCAGGATGCAACTATCTCATTTCTTAAAAAAAAAAAAAAAAATTAAATACAACCAAGCTGAACTAAAACTGAAAATTTATGAGCCACCAGGAAGTAACAAACACCAGACCGGCTCTCAAAGCGCAACCTGGAAAATTCTGGAGGTGATCTCAAAATAGACATTTCCTTCTGAGTCACACTGTAGACAACAGATTTCACCTGCCCCATCCCCTGCAAGGGCTTACTGTCAAATATCCCTGTGTCAAGAGAAATGTTTGCATAAAGCATCTAGTTTAATTCCAGTTTGAGTTTATTGTCACATAAAAATCAATTAAAAAATGAATAATCATGAATAATGCCTGAATACTTAGAAGCTTCGGTTTTAAATCTAACATCACACATTAAACTTCACTGGATATTAAAATTATCTGGCTTATGCAGCTAGTGAAAAAAACATGTGGTAACTCAGTTTTGTGCCTAACAGCAGGAGTTTGCCTTCTGTTCTGTTTAATTTGTACTCACATTTGTTACATTTGTCATTTCACTTGGCTTTGAAAAAGCCAGTGATGTCATATTAAAAATAATAATATTATATTTTTACTGTCAGTTTCTAGGTATCCGAGACTATAGTCTACCACAGCCAGAAAGCAGTCAGTTTGAAGTATTCAAAAGAAATTTGCTCATTTAAAAATAAGTATTTTGCAAAAGCCATTAAAATACAAAAAAGTATTTTAAACATGGTATTTCCTGCCAGTGTTTTATTAAGATGTAAGCTTTGTAACTAATTTGAACACATCATTTTAATCAACATTTGTTGTATCTTTGTAGTTGAACAAGCCTTTTAATTTCTCCCATCTCACTGCATGGGAAGTCATACATGCAAACGTACCTGGATAGTTTTTATTATAAATACACAAAGCATTGTTTCCTAGTTCACTATCACTTTACTAATGTCAGGGCTGAAGTACCTTCTTGTGTTTCTTTGGATCTCTGTATTAATGAAGCCACTTCTTGATTCAAAGATTGAACTTCATTTCGCAGCAGCTGGTTCTCCAGGCGAAGGTTGGACAGCTCGTGCGATTTGGAGTCATCATTGGCTGAAAGGCTGGGGCTGGTTACTGCACTTAGGGATGAATCCTTCAGGCCATTCCCTTGTGCTCCCAGGCCAGAGTCTGAACTGTCTGGAGTTTCTGTGCAGAGAGATGCAACTTAGAACAAATGAATGTGTTTGTAAACTACCTTTCTACAAACAGTATTTACATGTTCTGCATCAGAGGTTAAGGAACAACAATGATAATAAATCAAAATAGTTCATGCTGAAATGGAATATGGAGCTGCTTCTCAAAACTGATTGCACAAAACAGGACTATTTACATGCATCATGCAGTGTTTTTGTGAATACTTCGAGACAAAACATAATAGAAGTTATAAAATTTCCCATTACATAAAGGGCAACTTAAGGATTTCAAAACATTAACACTCTATTTATGACTTTGGTGGTCAGAGAAGTCCTCAGAAGCTGAAGAGTAAAACACTAAATACACATGGCAACTAACTGCAGGAATTTTTAGTACAAACTCATTCTGGTTTCCATTCAGATTTTGCCAACACCAAATTTGTTTTAAAAGAGAGAATAAAGGAACTCCTAATGGTATTCTGAACAAGTCCCCTGGAGGGAGGGAGGAACCAACAGCCTTTTCCCATCATGCACACACATCTTTGATTAATGCTGTGAAAGCTACAAATCCACTGTAAGAGCCTTGATTCCAGCACGCAGAAAGTTGGAAGCTTTGCAGCAATGTTAAGATAAAATGACAACGAACAAACAAACAGGCAATCCAAACACATTACTGCTGAATATTTACTTCCCCTTGTGATCATCCAAGCTGCTTCACTTTTCTTACCCCTGCAACAGCCCCTAACACCCCAAGCCCAGGGAATGGGGGCACACTATTAATTCTGAGCAACACCACACCCGTAAGTAACAGCAGTGACAGAAGATTTCTTCCAAATTTTCTCAAGCCTTTTTCCAATTAAAGGGATCCTAAGAAATGTCATTATCTTTCCTTTGATTTACTTACACAGTTTCCAACTTAAGAAATAATTTAAGCTCATTTCTCTGTCTGGAAAACTCAACAAATTAATTAAGATAATGAAGCAATAAATGAACCACTTACAGCACAGATTAGATTATAATCATGGCAATATACAAAATATAATGTTAATTGGTTTTGTCTATAGCTAGCACATTATAAACTACTTCAACAGATTTTGTGTTGAATATTTAAATGACACAGATATATCTGTACAATGAACTTCTGAAAATAGTGTGTTTGAATCCTGTATTGTAACTGTATTCTTCCTTTTTTAGCATCTCCACGATGCAAACTCTGCTCAAAAATCCTCAGAAGAAAATTCAACAAGCCACACTGAGGAAAACAAATGTTTTTTAAGCACCAATCAGCAAGGCCGCAGAGTCAGGTCTAACGTATCTGTCTTATTTATTAGTAGTAGTAAGCCTTACTGAAAAGTCAGGGACTCAGAAAAATATTCACGTTTGGAAATTATCCCTTTTTATGTCTAAAGCCTTTCAGCATACTTAATGTAGTAAGTAAAAAACTGGCATTTACAATACTTTACATGCTCAAAGTACTAAACAAATAATATTCTAACTACATTATTGATAATAGAACCATTTGCTTCAATTTTCTTAAAAAAATAACAGCAAAGTAGCACAGCCACAAGGATGGAGTACAGACTGGACAGTCGGTAGAGAACAGGAGTCCTTGACACTTCCCAGCCACATTCTCATTTGTGTGTTTGACTTGAGCCCAGCCCCAGCTTTAGACTGTCTGGCCTGGAGGCTCATTCAGGCCTCTGAATTAAGCAGCCATGAACTACTTCTGGCAAACCCAGAGGCTTTATCTCTCTGGCTCTCTCATGCCTGTGGCTCTACACCAGCCTGTCTGCATGCAGCTTCCTGCAGGACAAGCACGTTTGCCAGCTCACCCCTCCTGCATGGTGAACAGGGAACACCTTACCCCACCCCTCATGCTGCACTGGGCAACAGCCAACACCATCTCTGCGTGGGTGAAAGTCACTCCCCTCCCACGTGCCAACAGCAGCTACAGGCCCAGGGACCAGACAAAAGCAGCAGCACCTGTGCTCCTGCATGGGGACACACGGGGCTGATGCAGGGTTAGACCACAGCTCAGATTGAGCAGTAGCAACAGGGCAGGTCCAGAGACAAAGGATTTAGGTATCCATTACGCTGTCTGTCAAACTAGCATAGTCTCTAGTATTGCCCCAGTGATGAAAAACCCTGAAAGGCCCTGCTGTACCTCATCCATCAAACATACTAGCACCGTTAAGTGTTCCATGAGTGACATGAAGTTTCATGTGTTACCTAGCCTTACCCTAGACATACTTGTGTTTTAAATATCTCTAGGTTCAATACTATTTAACTACCATTGCCTTGGCTCCTGATGGAATTATCCTCAGTAGTTTTTGCACTCTGTGTACTGGTAGACACAGAACTAATGCTTGAAGTCCGAGAGTGATTCTGAAGAACAGGTGCCTTGCTCTTCTCCTTTTTAGAATCTATCCTTCCATTAGGTTCTTTCTCTGAACTGTTGAGAAAATCAAATAGCAACTCATCATCAGGTTCTGACTTTTTTCTTCTCACAAAATGTGAGGCAGCTCTGGGTGTAGAAGCATTTTCTACTGGAGAAGCTGCCTCTGAAGATGTCCTACGTGCTGTTTTAACATTTGCTGTTCCTGCCAGCATTGTGGCCTTCTGGTGTTTAATATTTTCAGCTGCTGAGGAGATGTAGGCTGCTTTAGATGAGGTCTGGTATTTCAGTTCTCCAGTGTGCTGGTGTGCTTCAAAATACTCATTGGCAGAGTCCAAGTTCTTCTTATCATAAACTGCACTGTTTGATGTGTCTTTTTTGCTCAGAGCTGATGCAGCTCCTTGATCAACTCTGTTGAGCAGATCCTCTGCCTTTCCAGCGAGATCAGCAAGCCAAGACATGATGAGTGTCTGTTGATGAACTCTGTACAATTAAGATTTCAGGACCATGTACTGCAAAAGACAGAAGGATTACAAATTAGATTGCTGCTGCTAAGGCAAGATGTACTGTTTATCTAAACTGGTGTGTAAAGGTATTAGTGCTGTAGTTATTGTAATTATTTTCTTCTGCTTATTTGGTATTTTGCTCTTTTGGTAACTAAGGGAAATAAACCAAACCAGTTTCTGGAAAAAACAGACAAAACCTCGGTTTTTAAACCAAGGTTATTAAAATCAGACCACTGCATCAGTTGCTGGTATCTCCAACTGCTACAGTGTATCACAAAGAGAAAACAACTATGTCTTAAGACGTTTGGCCTGCAAATTCCCAACCGGGCTCAGGCCAGGATCCTCTCCCCCACAAACTCTGCAGCCCGCTGCCTCTCCCGTGACACAGCGGACAGCTGCGTGCCTTCACCTGCACCACGGGCCTGCGACACCGCAGTGGGGGCTACGACACCACAGTGGGGCGTGCGCCTCTACCCCAGCTCCGGGAAGGCGACGTTCAGAGCGGCCGCTGCCCCCACCCCAGCACCACCCGCCCGCTGCCCTCCCCGGGCCCGGCCCCGCTCAGGAGCGGCGGGGGCCTCAGCACGGCCCGGCCTCACCTCCTGCAAGCGCGGGGGACGCGCCGGCCCGAGGGGAGCCGTGAGGGGCCCGAGGGGAGCCGTGAGGGGCCCGAGGCGAGCCGCGAGGGGCCGGCACTCAGCGCAGCCCCGGCGCTTCCGGCAGACGTGGCCGCCTTTCCGGGGGCGCCGCGCGCAGGCGCAGGGGGCCCGCCCCGCCCCCGCCGCGCTCTGGCCCCGCCCCCGCCCCGCTCGGGCCCCGCCCCCGGCGCTCCCGGGCCCCGCCCCCGGCGCGCTCGGCCCCGCCCCCGCCCCGCTCGGGCCCCGCCCCCGCCCCTCTCGGGCCCCGCCCCTCCCGCGGGCCGGAGCGGGGCTTGCCGCGCGCCCCCTGGCGGCGCTCCCGGTACGTGCCGAGGCGGGAGGCGCCGGGAGCTGCGGATGCCCAGGAGCGCAGAATTACTTTGCTGGGAAAGAGCCCAGCGAGCCCAACTGTTGGTGCCAAACCCACCAGTAAAACCACATTCCCAAGTGCTGCGCACTGTCACGTCCTTCCCTGTCATCTATGACTCAGTGTCTGCAACCTGCAGTACTTGAATAATTTTAAGATTTATGGCCATTATCCCTCTTCTTCAAATGCTTATTCTTAGTAAGGATAGCTGTTAAAGTATACATAAACTATGCTTGAGATACACTTAAAGCACTACATAAGGTTTTGTTATTGTTCATCCTCTCACCTCCCTTTATTTATTTCCTCAACCTTCCATACCAACATGTCACATCTAACCACCACAATTCACAGAGAGTTTCTACTCATGCCTGAAGTATCAGAAGGAATGTGAGTGACGACAACACTTACACCTCCCGTCACTTCAGATCCTCCTCTGTTGAGGACCTGCTGTCCTCATGATTATAATGCTGAATGCATGGCTGGTGACTTACATCCATGTTTCCCAGAGCCCTAGTTGTTATCTTGTCAGAGCACATCTTACAAGTATTCTCTGGTTAAATTCACTGCTAGGCTGTTATCAAATTATCTGAATATTGCTACCTGGTTTACAGAAGTTTCCTCACATCTTATCATGGTAATCGTCTTCCAATGCGGAACACACAATATTTGGAAAGATTATGAAGAGTTTCTCTGTAGGCCAAAGACTTCAAAATGTTTGTCTAACAGATGTGAATTATCAATTATCATTGGGCATCTCTAGGACTTAGGCCCAAACAGGAGACATCAGCTGTGCTGCCTATTCAGAACCTACTCATGGCACTAGTACTGGCATGAGTTAATAGAAAATCTATCCTGCCTCACTGCAGATTAAGCAACACATTGGAAATAACAGTAATAAACCAAACAAATTCATAACCTTCAACTTTTACATCATGTGAATCAGGCTGCACATAAGCATAATTTTAATTAATGTGAATGTATCACCTTCTCAGGCACTAAGAAAAGGAGAGATTTTTAAGAGATTTTATTAATTACAAATTTATACTTAGCTTGTTTTACTTAACTTGTTCAGCCTTCAAAACACGTTACCAATCCTTTCAATGGAAAAATCACATATGATTGTGAATGTTTGAAGTATTTGATCATTACACACCAAAGTGACATGAACAATGTTCAAAAGAAACATGAAGGGCCAAAGCCAAATCCCTAGATTATCTCTGTCTTTTACAGAGGGGATAGAAACAAAGCATATTTCAATCCAGAATATATCCTATTGCATCACTGCATCTAGCAAGCCCTTCTCTGCATTAGAGTCTGAAAACCTGTTTAGGAAATATACACACAGCAGAAATGCATAACCAGCAAGAGGAATTCAAACCACATTTTAACATGCCCCATTCCACTCTTGAGCCATTGCATTGTTTGCCTGAATCATCTTACAGATGTAAACTAGTTTAGGTAAGTAAATGGCTGGACAGAAGTGCCTTTTATTCAATATTACATAGGCAGACTCCTAGGATCACATCTGAACTGTCCACAGGCTGAGAATTTCCAGTTCTTGCAGAGGTCATCATTATTTACCTTGAAGTAAATTCCATGGCAACTCTCCCTGTTCATACTAAATCTTTAAAACAGGGATCCTGTATTGATAAAGGGACTGGCTAAAAGTGGGGGGAAACAAACCATTTAAGTCCTATGTAGATTTTATATTGAATTGTTCAGTTATAGAATCATTCCATACAACAAATCATACTTTATGTGTAACCTGGGAAACATTTATTCCCTCTGAATGCTCTGATAAAACGTAGTAACTCCACTACATTTCCCCCCCTATTTAGTGTCTCACATGTGGTGAGTAATCTCTGCAACTGCCTGATTTCTAGAAGACATAAAGGTTACAGCAACACAATTGAAATTTGCTCTATTTACATTTTCACAATCACTGATAGTCTCTAAAAAGAATGTTTCCATTTATAAAATTAGAAAAAAAAATAATAACAGGAAGTTTACTGGCTGAGACCTGAATAAATAGTGGTATCTCTTTCCTTGGTGCTTGTTTAAGATCTGCATTTTTATTCCCATAACTGATGTTCTCAGGTTTTGAAGGGTGGGGACGAAGATAGAAGAAGGAAAGAGAACTTGCTGCTTGTTCCACTGACCTATTTATAAAGTCCCTTAGGTCTGCTGTGTCAACAGTTACTTCACATGCTGTGACTGCCAGGCTGAGTGGTGAGAATATTTAATTCTGTCACAAGGGGCATACAGCTTCATTAACTACCACTGAAAACTTTACAGGTGTCTTTTCAGTTTACAGGTGCCCTCCCCAGGGTCCAGGCCCTGATCTGAGATGCTGCACATCTTGCTGTATAGTTTGACAGGTTCTGACTGCCATTCTCTGTCTGCAAGCACAAAAGGGCAAAGATTCATATCTAGCTGTAAAAATTAGACTTTCTGTACAAAGCCTTTAGATCCCTATTCATATGCAAAGTAGAAGTAATTTTAAGCTATAATTTACAGACATTATTTTTGTCTACTATAGCTCTCATTGTAAGGAAATTTAAATAACAAAGCTGGAAAATATCTGCCCCAATAACTATAACACAGCAAGATTAACTTGCTCCCTCAAAACTCATTGCAAGAAAACATTTGTGGCTTTAGGTATGATTTTTTTAATTCAAAATAGAGGCAGGCTCTGCAGTTTAAAAAAATTATTTTTAAAAATTACTCTTTCCTACTTTGAGCTGATTCACAGGTTTTTAATTGTTCATTAATGTAAATTTTTAGGTAGAAGAGGCAAAACAGATACATAGTCACATGACATATTAGGTTAATCTCTTCTCTAAGTATACTGAAATAAAACTTTAGAGGTTAGCTTCTGTGAAAGACTGCGCTGGAACCCATAAAATTGCAAAAAATACAGCAACAAAAATAAAATTAAAAAAAATAAAGATGGGTCATGTCATCCTCAATCAGCCTTCTTTTTCATGTATCGTGATATATTAATACACAACTACATATCTGGTCTAAGAGCTTTGATTCATGCAGTATATTGGAAGCATGCCAAACATCAAGGATTGCAAAATAAGGTGAGGTCACTGGATAAGCTGCTACTTAAGCTTTTATTTCATTCTCTGTGGATGTGACAGCCTGGTCAGAGAGCGAGAAAACTAGATAAGTTTTCCCAGAATCAGCTTGTGAGACTTTAGGGAGTCGAAGATAAACAATGATAGCTTATTATCATAAACAACCTGCAGGTGCTGTTTCCCTACTCTCTGTTTTCCTGTTTTTCTCAAAGATTGTTTATAAGAAAGGCGTTTTGTTAATTAGCCAATTAGGTGAAATGTATTCATTAATTGACCAATATGGTTTATCTGTAGTG